GCGCATGTAAACTTTTCCACGCTAACAAATTTGACTGTTGAGAGTGTACTGCCAATCTCGTGACCGTTGCTGCACATGTGGCCTTTGCAAAAGAATGCAGAAACTGCATTTGTCTTGCTGTTGCTTTGTACTTGAACATCCATGATTTAAGAAACTTCCTCAGCTTCCTTTTTTTGTTGTCTTCTTTGCTCTCGAAAAAATATTATCTCAGCAACAATGCTAGTCAAATGTAGACCTTTTATCTTCCTTGTCTTCTTTATCTTCTTGTGTCTCACCACTTGTTGCCACAAACTGTTGTGTACCAACAACTCATTCACCTTGATAGACATGTTCCAAAAAGTGTGACCTTGTATAATTAGCTCATGGACAACTTCTTTCCTCAAAACTGCATCAATTTCTGTTAACCAAAGCATTATACCTAGCAAACCGGTGCGGGAAAATGGTCATTTTATTACCCAAGTAATTGCAATTAACACTTTTATTCCTCAATTATTGTGGTTACACTTTTATTCCCCAAGTTGATATTGACTTTACAAATTAAAGACTAAAAAAGTGAACATTAATCGATAAATGTTTACCGTTAAGTTTAATTAATTGCCCTCGTTTTAGAACTACAAGCTTTCTATATCTTCTCTTTTGACAATTCCAAATGTTACAAGATGCTGCATAAACGTATGTACATCGGTAGTCTTCACTTCATCTATCCTTCCTTTCTCATCTAAACTCGATTTCCATGTCTCTGGGTCGGAGTAACAAGCAGCCTCGATTTTCCGATCACTGGGTCGACCATTACAGGTGTTAAACTCTCCATAATCACCACATAAGCCCATCTAAAATCGTTGTTCACTTTCTCTCCAGCTCTTTTGCTACGAGATAAATGAAGTTCCAGAATCCTCTAGTGTCTGTCTTCAAACAGAGAGATTTCAGTGCCGAGACTTCACCGGAATCATCTTCATTAGAACCACCATCTTCCCCATTTTCCCCCAATTCAAAATCAGCAATTTCGAAATTTCTTCACAAACTCATAACGATTTTGTGTATGCTCCATTATCAGATGTATTATGGGTTTGAGTTAGACTGCTAACCTTTTCGCTTTGATATCTTATGGTTTCTCAAGTTATAAAAAGAATTGTGTTTCAAGAATGCGACACACCCATCTGTTTTGCTCTAATAAACTTTGAGAACCAACAAAAATCAAAGAACACGACAAGTGGCTTATGACTCACTCTGATTGCAAATCTAACATTTGATTCAGCTGGAAAAATATAAAAGTCGAAACAAGGAAACCAAAAGCTTACA